GGCTAAATCTACACTGCAGGCTTTTGTTGGCAGAGAGTATTCTAATGAAGCACTCATTAGCATTTGTCATGCTGTTTTTTGCATATCTCTGCTGATGCTTTTTGCACAAGAGGTTTTTGCACAAAAACAAGAAGTGTAGATGGGTCCGTTCTGTGCAAAATATCCCATTTGCACAAGATCCCTTATGCCTCAAAAAGGAGGTATACAGGATCTTGCACTAAAGGGATTTTTTGCATAAAACAGACCCGTCTACACTGCTCGTTTTTTGCGCAAAAACCTCTTGTGCAAAAAGCATCAGCAGAGATATGCAAATGACAGCGGGATAAATGCTAATGAGCACTTCATTAGCATACTCATACTTCACGAGCATACTTCATTAGCATATGCTTCATTAGCATACAAAAGCCTGCAGTGTAGACATAGCCTGAGAGTAATGGAGATAGCAAGAGTGGGAAGCTCTTTCCTGTAAAACATCTGCTAGAGGACAGGAGGAAGAGTCAGCCCATGCACACCCTGCAGGTCCTTCTGGTCTCCTGGCATTGAACAATTCTTAGAGAGAGATTTTTCAAACATTGTTTTTAAACTCAAGGAAATTCTTAGCAGACTGGGATGGAAGGGGTGGCCAGTGAGGAGGGAAGGAGAGGAATCATTAACTTGGAAAGTTGGGTTTGAAACAAGCCATCACTTACTTCAGTCAAAAACTCCTTTAGAGAACTCTGTTACCTGAATGACAACAAGAGTATCCAACAAATGCTAGTCTGGGTAGTCCATCTCCTGAAAAAAATAAGTAGAAAGCGAATCCTAACAGAGGACAATGAGAGTCATTCCAACATTCAAAGCCAACCTGAGAACAACCTAAAATCAGACTTATCCTTCAGACACATCAATGAGTGAATCTTATCAGTGGCCAAAAAATTGCTCAGAATCATTGCTCTGAGAATATAGCAGTTCTAGCAACTATTTGTGTTTGCTGCCCTATGCTGTGCCCAGTAAAAATATTCCTTGATACTCTCTAAATGGATAAATCACATACTGAGGGCAACTTACTTCAAGGATTCCATATGTTACAAATTAAGCAAGGGTCATTGGCACAGATGGTTAACTTATTCATTGGGAATGAATTGCTGGATGAATATAATGATTTCTGCTTCCAAAGAATTGGCAACCATACCCTGTTTCTACTAATGTATTCATTATTCACACAGAGTGAATAGTTTGTCAACAAACTCTAGACTATGTGTTTCTTTGCAAACTATTTACTTTGACTCAATGACTGCTCACAGACTGTGGTATAAGCCATCAATCAGACTGTTATTTTTACTCCTTGCCTGGAGATAAACTTTTTAAAAACAGGAGAATAATGAATGTTGAACATCAAAAAGCAAACACCACGCAACTGGAATGAATTCGGTACATATTCTTATTCATGCTAAGATTTGTAATGCTCAGGATTTATCAATGTTTTCATGACCAAACCAGTAGTCATCAAATAGTCACAAATAACACATAATATGACCTACCAGATCTTAGTGACCGTTAAAAAAGATATTTGTGATTCTTTTTTGGATCCGGAGGAATGAATCTATGTATCAAACCTTCTTGGCTAAGATGATAACGTGGTGATTACATATGTAAGTGGGGAAATGGTCCCGCTATTGTGTGGAACTTTCCTGGCTTCTATACCACCCCGATGAAATGGACCAATGAAAGGATCTGAGTCCCTGCTCCCACTTCCTTTACCCCACGGGCCTCCCTGACCCTGAGGGCTCCCCTTCCACTCTCCTGAGTAGCAGAGTCCTCAAAACCACAACAAGGCTGGACCCAGGTTTCCTGAGGCTTAATCCCCGACCTTGTAGTCACTTGGGGCAGGCGCTAGGGTATCCCCACTCCGGGGTGCTCTCTTCACACTGCATGCTTTCTTGGCCCAGTGATCATTTCATAAAGTTCAAAGCAAATACTATTTATTAAACATCAACTGATTAAAGAGAAAAGAAACAATGAGAATGGTTAAATGAGAACACACAGTCCTGCTCTGTAGCATGGGGACATCACAAACAGCAGTCTGCAGAGTGTAAGGACAGTTCACAATCTGTTCCTTATAGGTCCCTTATAGATCCTGGCTGTGCTGCAGGGGGGCTGCAGGCTGGACACGCTTGCTCTGGCAGTGACCCCAGGGCCTCAGGCTCTAGGTGGTAGGACCCCTCTCCCAGTCTGGCCTGCAGGGCCTCTTGGCTGGTGGTCTCTCCCTGCCCAGAGCCTCTCTCCCCACTTTGCAGGTCCCAGCTGCTCACCACACCCAGCTACAGGCTGTGCTGCTTTGCCAGTCTCCAGCTCCTTGGGTTGCTTCTCTGTCCCCTTTGGCTCTCTGATCATTGCCAATCTGCTGCTCAACACAGGGTCTGCACTCCTTAGGCTGTGTGTGCCTGGCTCTGTTGCTGCAGGACTGCCCCTTAGCACAGCTTACACTCCTTGGGCTGTGTGTGCCTGGCTTTGTTGCTGCAGGACTGCCTCTCCACACAGCTTGTACTCCTTGGCTGTGTGTGCCTGGCTCTGTTGCTGCAGGACTGCCCCTTAGCACAGCTTACACTCCTTGGGCTGTGTGTGCCTGGCTTTGTTGCTGCAGGACTGCCTCTCCACACAGCTTGTACTCCTTGGCTGTGTGTGCCTGGCTCTGTTGCTGCAGGACTGCCCCTTAGCACAGCTTACACTCCTTGGGCTGTGTGTGCCTGGCTTTGTTGCTGCAGGACTGCCTCTCCACACAGCTTGTACTCCTTGGCTGTGTGTGCCTGGCTCTGTTGCTGCAGGACTGCCCCTTAGCACAGCTTACACTCCTTGGGCTGTGTGTGCCTGGCTTTGTTGCTGCAGGACTGCCTCTCCACACAGCTTGTACTCCTTGGCTGTGTGTGCCTGGCTCTGTTGCTGCAGAACTTTCTCTCCATACAGCTTGCTCCTCTTAGCTCTCTCTCCTTCCTCAGAGAGACCCAGAAAATCCCAGCTCACACGAAAGACGGGGCCTGGCCTCTTACTTTCCTCACTTGCCTGTCCAACCTGTCAATCAGGCCGAGCTGAAGTGTTGGCTGCTTTCCATTGTCTCTGGGGTCTGTCAGTCTCAGGGCCCTGATTTCTCATGGACCTTTCTCCTTTTGATACTGGGAGCTGGCAAACCAAAAACTCCCATGGAGTGTTAGTAAGGGGCTAACAGTCCCTTTACACACAGATTGATCAAAACTTAGCTTGGTAGCAAAATTCTACCATTTATATTAAAGGCATGTACGTAACAATACTCCTGTGTTTTATTTTTTTCCAAACTATGTAGACACACAGAGACTGACAGAATTGCTGGACCCCTGGGCAACGTATCTGTGGGGCGAATCTCTCTGCTTCCAAGGGGGTGAGGCCTTGAGCAGACGGGGCAGGGCTTGGGCCAGTCAGCCCTCAGCACCACATGGACCTCTCCACACACCCCCACCAGCCCTCAGCACCCCCTGGGCTCACCATGTAGGGCTCTGGTGGTGATTTAGAGGGCCAGGGACTCTGATCACCACCAATGCTGCAGTAGCAGCAGCAGCAGTGGCTGGGAGTCTCAGGCCCTTTTGAACTACTGGCCTCCAGGACAGTTGCCCTCTTTGCCCCTCATTGGCAGTCCTGTGCACACAATGAATTCTCCAAATTAAAATATCTAAAATATCTGTTGCTAGTGAATGTGCCTTTCTTAAAGCCCTTAGGAAAAAAATGATGACAGAAAGACAGAAAATTGGTTATGATATTACAGTGGTTTTCAAATGAGGAGCATCCCTGATATAGGATGGTGACTTCTTACAGCTATTGAAACTATTGGATCTGAAATATCACAGATGTCAAAGATCATGTGAAAGAAACATAGCAGGGGATATGGAAGTTTGGCTCCCCACTCTACAATTCTGTTTAAGGTCTGTGTCCTGATAGTCAAAGCCCTCCATGAAATAGACCCTAGCCACTCTAGAGATCACTTCTTTCTCCACAATGCAGCAGTATCCCTCTGGAAAAAGTGAAGCAATCAACACAAGTTGCAGAGAACAGAACTTTCACAGGATCTGGAACTCTTATAAAATCAACACAGATCCCATCTCTTTCACAGGTAATTAAATGCAACATTCATTGTCTTGGTTTTCCTCATTAATTACCTTAATTATAGATAGATTAGTTAACTTGTCTCTGATACAGACATAAACAGCTCTTCTTGTAAAATAATCAAGTTCTTTATTTTATCAATAAAAGAAGGGAAAAAAAGAGGGCCACTTACTGGGATTATTCTGTATAAATACTTGGGAAGCATTTAGACACTGTGATGATAAAGATAAATAGGTGGTGGTATGAATATGAGTAGGAGGGGAAGAGGCATGTGTAGTAGAACCTGAACTTTCCAGAATTTGTGGGGTTTCTTTGCAAACTACAGTGGGTTCCACAGAGTGTTTTTGTGGAAGCAATAGAGTTGTTTTCAATCTTAATTTCAGCTTTTTTACTTTCTAGTCAAGTATACGGGTAAGGTTGTTAAAACAGTCTGCTAAGTAGGTATGGGAAAGCCTATTTTGAAAGTAAGCACACAAATGGGAAAAGGGGAATTTGAAGTAGAAAGAAAAACTGAACTATGAATTGAAAAGTGAACTTCACCTTTTAGTAAATGTTTCTTCAAGTATATTCATGCTAGACTGAAAATAAGAGAAAATTGGTCCTCTAAAATTTTAGCTGTAAAGGGAAGGCAGGAAGGAGAAAGCACAATTGGAATTGCAGCTAGCAAGAGATGTTAAGGGTAACAAGAAAGGTTTCTACAGGCATGTTAGCAATAAGAGGGTGATTAGAGAAGGTGTGGGGCCCTTATTGGATGAGTAGGGTAACCTAATGACAGATGATGTGGGAAAAGCTGAAGTACTCAATGCCTTTTCTGCTTCTGTCTTCACAGACAAGGTCACAAGTAATGTGATCAGGAATAGTCAACATGGATTCACCAAGAGCAAGTCATGCCTGACCAAACTGATTAGCTTCTATGATGAGGTAACTGGCTCTGTGGACATGGGGAAGTCAGTGGATGTGACCTTGACTTTAGCAAAGCTTTTGATACAGTCTCCCACAGTGTTCTTGCAAACAAGTTAAGGAAATATGGATTGGATAAATGGACTGTAAGGTGGATAGAAAGCTGGCTAGATTGTCAGGCCCAATGGGTAGTGATTTACAGCATGATGTCAGGTTGGCAGTCAGTTTCAAGCAGCCTATCCCAAAGATTGGTTGAAGGGCCAGTTTTATTTTACATCTTTATTAATGACCTGGATGAGGGGATGGATTGCACCTTCAGCAAATTTGCGGATTACACTAAAATGGGGGGAGGTTGATACATTGGAGGGCAAGGATAGAGTCCATTGTGACCTAGACAGATTAGACGATTGGGTCAAAAGAAATCTGATGAGGTTTGTCAAGGCTTTTTCCCCATTCTGGCAAGATAAATGAAGAAGTAGGACCCCAAAAGGACCCCAAAACCTTATCTTTTCAGGCTTGGTATAAAGCTTCCCCCCCAAATCTTAAAAACCTAGATTTTTGGGGATAAAAAATCCGCTGCCATCACACCACTAATAATAAAGACACCAGCAAGAGACTACTTGGGAAATCTCAGCCCCCAAAGTAAAACCAGGACACAAGAATTAACCAATACCAGGTTAATAAAAAGAAAAGAGAAAGAACTTTTATTATCACCACAATATTCCTGTTGCAAGGATAATGACTAGATGGAAGTCACCAATTAATATACTCATGCGGGGATTCCACCATGGGCCTAAACTTAGTTACAAAGGAGAGGAAAACCCATTTTTAACTGCACAGACATCAGACTCCTAATCCCAAACAATAAAACCTAATGGATTTATCTAAACTTTACCCTGCTTATAGATAGTGAAGAGTCTTTTCTTGGAGCAATACATTTTGTCTGTCCCCCTCAGTAGCTGGAGAGAAAACTGCTCAAAGACAAAGGAGGGAAGAACCCAAAAATTCCTTTCTCCCAGTTTGAAATCCCTATCTGAATTTCTATTGGCTGAGCAGATACCTGGCTAGGTAAAGTTAACCCCTTAGTCCCCAGGCTGCTGCCCATCCCTCATGGTCATGACAAGGTTCAACAAGAATAAGTTCAGAGTCCTGCACTTGGGATGGAAGAATCCCAAGCATTGTTACAGGCTTGGGACCAACTGGCTAAGTAGCAGGTCAGCAGAAAAGGACCTGGGGATTACAGTGGATGACAAGCTGCATATTAGTCAACAGTGTGCCCTTGTAGCCAAGAAAGCTACTGGCATATTAGGGTGTATTAGAAGGAGCATTACCGGCAGTTCTGGAGAAGTGATTATTCCTCTTTGTTCTGCACTGGTGAGGTCACAGCTGGAGTACTGTGTCCAGTTCTGTGCCCCCCACTACAGACAGGATGTGGATGCATTGGAGAGGGTACAGCGGAGGGCAACCAAAATGATTAGGGGGCTGGAGCACTTGACCTCTGAGGAGAGGCTAAGGAATTTGGGTTTATTTAGTCTGCAGAAGAGAAGAGTGAGGGGGGATTTGATAGCTGCCTTCAACTTCCTGAAGGGAGGTTCCAAAGAGGATGGAGAGACATCTCAGTAGTGACAGATGGCCGAACAAGGAGCAATGGTCTCAAATTATAGTGGGGGATGTCTAGGTGAGGGAGGTCTAGTTTGGATATTAGAAAAAAACTATTTCACTAGGAGGGTGTTGAAGTACATGAATGGGTTACCTAGGAATGCGGTGGAATCTCCATCCCTAGAGGTTTTTAAGTCTCACCTTGACAAAGCCCTGGCTGGGATGATTTAGTTGAGGTTGGTCCTGCTTTGGGCTGGGGGCTATATTCGATGACCTCCTGAGGCCTCTTCCAACCCTATGATTCTATAATTTTAAGGCTGATTTATTGAAGTTATTTTGCTTATCTTTTACGAAGGAGAAGGAAAATATAACAAAGTCAAGGATCATATTTCTTGATATAATGGAGATGAAATGTGCAGATAATAGAAATAATGTGACAACAAAGATAGATGACCTTACAATTATTACTTTATTGGTTGAATATGAATTACATCTATTTTTGTATATGAATTATATCTGAACACCTGTATTTTTTTTCCTTGAAAGACTATATTTCTGTAAAATTAATTCAAATTTAAAAGAAATAATGTAAAAAAATTATTAATAGTACAAAGTTTAGATCACACAATGAACTCTGAAGTTTAACAGAAATAAAGATTGATGTAATAAAATTCAAATTTTGCTGTTCACTGAAGACTGAATATGAAGTTTATGTATCAGAATCTGATTTGAGAAGCATCCAAGTCAAAAGAATTCAGTGGTGGGCAGTACAATTTTGAATTCTTTTTGAAGACCCCCTTAAATCTGTGCTTTATTTAATCTTGATCCAATATTTCCAGTTAAGATCATGCTAATAGTTAATAACATAGACTTGTTATTCAGTGGAGATGCAAAAACCCATCAAACAATTCTACCCTTTTGCTAATTAGACATCTGTTGCATCAGAGAGATATGATGTTTATAACACACAAGTACAGCTACAGTAGATCATGCCTTTTCAGTTGTCCTGGTATCTTCTTTCACTGTCTCTTTTTTCCAGTTTCTCTTTAATTTTCTCAGTTAAAAAGCATGGAGATAAATATATTCCTTACTGAGGGATGTAAGTCATGCTAGATATGATAAACAAAAGTCATTACAAGAAAAGAAATGGAAAATTCTTCAACTTTAGGGAAATGAATACAGATAAAATAGATAGTCCCTCATCACTACTTTCCCAGTCAAATCAGAGTTATGCTATGCTTGCTGGGTTATATTTGGTTACATTGCAGACTAATAGGCAAACGGAAAGAGTTGATCAAATATGGGAGCAGCATCTTTGCTGCTTTTCAGCCACCAACAGGAAGAGTGGCCTCCTCTGCTTTGCTATGCTGAATTAATTTGTAATGATGCAATCCATACCTCAATCAAATATAGTGCATTTTTTGAGAATGATGGCTTTTTCTCCCACTTCCACTCGGACCTGGTTCAGAGGTTATCAGTGACTCTGGGTAAGAACACACACAGCTATTTCATCAGGGATAGCATACTCAAGTCTAACAGACGGGGAAAAGGGTTCCTGGTGCAGTGGACAATGCTGATTTAGGTTGGATAGCAAGCATTAGTACTGTTGAATCTCTTTTTTGCTGTGGTATGATACCACTGTTGCACTTAAAATTCACTTTGTTGCTAGTTCAAGGATTGGTCTTGCCTTTTCAGCAGTTTTGGGACGTTCTTGGCCCTTAGTGCAGGCAATAAGGATTCAGGCTCCCTGTGAGCTCCTGACAAAACCATGCAGTGCCTCACTAAAACTGAAAGTGCAGGGCAGGTACTTCTCTACATATAGGCTATAGGAAGGAACTTCTACTCTTTATGAGGGTATGTGCCCTTATCCACCTCCTGTCTTTGCCTGTTAGAGTTCTTAGGCCTAATACCTGATGGTCTGCAAATGGAAAGTATTGGGGCAGTGGGAGCAAAGTCAGATGAGCTAGGGCTGGGTCAGACTGGGGCCTCATCACCCAGTCCATGAGGTGTCTTTGGAGCCAGAATTCATGAGATTGCCTAGTTTAGGGTGGAAACAAATGACAGATATCGCACATGGCAGGGAGGGAGGGGATGTGTGACTCTGCTAGACAACATAAGCAAGTCACTTGCCAGGAAGACCTGAGGATTTGAAGCTGGGAATCTTGGACATGATAAGTACAGGCAGTCCCCGAGTTACACAGATCCAACTTACGTCGGATCCGCAGTTACGAACAGGGATTTTCTCGCCCCGGACGATGGGAGCGGTGGGACGCCTGGTCCCGCCGCCCGCGTCCTCCGGGGCAAGAAAAG